TCATGACTCATGAGTATGAACCTCCTCTTGTGAGGTGATCAATTGCATCAGTTCACAAGATGTTATGAGTTGGACAAGGAATTTTCAGCCATGGACTGCTTTTTTAGCAGCTCCTATTAGCTGTTTCAATAATTTGACTTTTGCGTCTAATATTTTAAAAGAACATAATACACTGTGCTAGCGGTAAATAAGTTAGTGTTGAATAATGTACTGTAGACATACGTATGTCCTGATTTATTCTGTTAATTAACTTTTACTAGCAGGCTACAGTGGGGCTGGTTAGAAACAAGAATGGAGGATCAACGAGTTTTCAACACAATTAAAGAAGCTATCAATTTGCATCAATGAAAGATCTAAAAAGTATATGATCAGTAGTGTTATTTTGTAACTGTGGTTGCAGGGAGTGGTTGGGCCGATTGGTTGCACAGTTTGAGGAAGGTGCGTAGCAGCTAATCAATAAGGTATGTGCAATTCATTATGTCATAAAAATCTTAATGAATCTCATTGCTCGTTTTATTTTTAATATGTTTTGTATTTTACCATAGCGTTAGCTGACTTATATAATTACCGTACCAGCTAAGCAGGGCTTAAACCGGTAAGCTTGATTCCTCTGGCGTCCTTTTCCCTAACAATCTCTAATCTCTCTTCCAGTTTGCGTGCTGCAGTAGCAGGGCACTGGGGCTGGGCACCAGCATCTCTGTCATCTCTTCCCATTGTGGCTGAGGTGCAGTAGCAGGATTCGATGGCATGTTTTGGCTTTCCCTTAGCAGCCGGCGAACTTGCTATCAAATGGTTACCAGAGAATAGGATTCTGTAGATTTTTTTTTTTGATCTCATATTTTTTTTTACTATGTTACTGTTAGGGATCACTGAGAAGGAAAGATGTTATGGGTCTATTAATTTAATCTTGTTTTACTTGTCATATTTGTATATTGGAATAAATTGAGACTGTCAGCTTGTTTCTCCGATTGAGATTGTTACAAAATATTTGTATTGGAATAAATTGCCTTTGGGAAATAAAAACACAAATCGATCTGTGGGTTATTAAGTTGCAGCAAATGGGAATGCAATTTGCAGCTAATCCTCTACTTCAGTTTGTTTGGGTGATTTTTTTTTTCTTACATGTGGTACAATGGGAGTCTCGTAGCTGAGACTGAGTATTTGATGGTTATGTGCTGCCGTAACGTTAGCACGGACATTATACTGGTACAGATAAAAAGAAGCAATCGGTTATTTATTTTCTCTTTTTATTAAATATTTTATCTCTCCTAATATTTAAGGGCTTGGGTTTATTTGAAATCTTACCTGGGTGGTTAGAGTACCGTAGAAAACCATTTAAACTTTATCAAAATTTGAAAGTATTGTACTGCTGGCCTCTAATAAAAAAAAGAAGAAAAGTCGCATTTCTAACTGCAGTGGCTATAATTGATTGTCCGAGAAGATGCTAAAATTCACGGCTTGTTTTGTGGTTGGAGAAAGTACTAGTTTATCACAGTAACTCAAACCACCCAGATTTTGTTGTCCATCTTCCTTACTTTTGAATTTTGATACGACATTTCCAGAAAGACAACCAAAGTGCTTTGAACAGTTCATGTTGAAAAGTAAATATTCCTGTAATTCAAAACCAAACCTCCTTAAACAAACAAACAAGAGAACAGTCAGAGAACTGAAACCCAAAAAACGTGAACCAGAAACATCCAAGTTCATTGATCCATCGACGTCGTCCATGCTGATGTCGCTGACGACCCATCAACGCGGCTCCAAGTCAGTAAGGGAGGCATCATTGATGGACATGGACTGTCCCCGACCTGCTGCCACCGCCCTCGCACCCTGGCGATCCGTCCCCGTCACGGGCGCGTCCGCGTCCGCGGTCACCGTGAGACCACGGCCCGGCATCGCGAAGGCTGGCGCGTTGGGGGCCGGTAGCGTAATGGAGCGGCTGTTGAGCATGACGACGACCGACGCCATGCTGCGGCGGAGGTGCGGATCCTCCTGGACGCAGAGCAGACCGACGTGGATGCACCTCAGCATCTCCTGCGCCCGACGCCCCTCCTCGGGGCACCCCTCCAGCAGCGGTTGCACGCTCCCACGGCTCCACTGCCTCCAAACCTGCCCATGCCATGCAAAACAAGGATAATAGGACTAGGGTATTAGCCTCAAAAGGAGTTAGGATATATACCAAAAAAAAGTTCTACTTGATGCTTCATCATCATGACAGTAATAAGAGGGATCCATACATAGGTAAGAAGATCTTCGGAGGGTCCTGAAGCATGCGTGTCCGTGTTGCGTCGTCCGGTGACTATCTCGAGGACAAGGACACCATAGCTGAAAACGTCTGATTTGGCCGAGAAGATGCCGTGCAGAGCGTACTCCGGCGCCATGTACCCACTGCATGCATTTCAAAGCCACGGTCAGCATGTCAGATTGTCAGGTTAACACAGATGATTACACCCACGCTCGTGATCACCACAGCTGGAGTCCACCGGCAGGCAAACTTACTAGGTTCCAGCAATGCGGCTGGTGTTTCCAACGCTGGAGTCGATACTAAACAGCTTTGCCAAGCCGAAGTCTGAGATCTTGGGGTTCATGTCGGCGTCCAGCAAGATGTTGCTCGCCTTGAGATCACGGTGGATGATGGTAAGCCTCGAGTCCTCGTGGAGGTAGAGGAGCCCTCGGCTGATCCCTTGATGATCTTGTGCCTCAGTCCCCAGCCCAGCTATTGCTGCCGTGCAGGATCTGCGAGTTGAATTTACTGAAATTATTAGCAAATGGAGTGTCCTAGTGACCCTGGTGTGAAATGATAGTATTAAGAATCATGGTTGTCTAAAAATGTGGCACCAAAGACGATCTTGTCGAGGCTGTTGTTGGTAAGAAACTAGTAGACGAGGAGCCTCTCGTGTTCCTCGATGCAGCAGCCGAGCAGTCGCACCAAGTTCCTGTGCTGGAGCTTCGCCAACAGGAAAACCTCGTTCTTCATCTCCATCTGTCCTTGCTGCGAAGTTGCAGACAACCTCTTCACTGCAATCTCCTGCCCGTTTTGTAGCGTGCCCTGAAGAACGTTGAGACCGGATCAACAACTAATCTGACGGACTTACGGGAAAGAATATCAGCTGCGTAGATTAGTTTTTAGGTTGCATGTTTAAAGTTAAGTTTCGTACTTTGTATACTGGCCCAAAACCGCCTTCGCCGTGCTTGTTTTCTTGTGAGAAGTTGTTGGTGGCAGCTCGTAGGGTGCTCAAATCATACAGGAGAGACTCTGAGCTTCTCATTTATTCGTCATCTTCACGTCCTGTTTATAATAGAACACGAAATGACCTCAAGCCTAAACATAGCACCATACTACTCATCAAATGTACTGACATTGTTTCACCACTTACTGATGCTTGCAATCTGGACATGCTTGTGTGGTTTTCTGTTCCTGTTGCAGAGATAGGCAACAACTAGCAGCAGCACCAGCAGCGCAACAGCGACAGGGATTGACACGAGAAGAACTGTCCTGACTGTTTGATTACTCCCTGAACAGAATCCACACGGGTGCACGGTAATTCAGAATAGAAGCCATTTCAGACTTTGCCAAGATTAGTCACCGTCCAAACTCTGGAATTCAACTCTTCTACTAAAAAGAAAAACGTTTTTCCGCATCTCATGTGGTCATGTTTGAAGAAGATGGAGAAATCTCATCGTCAATTTTGCCGAGTCAAGATGAGAGCAAGTGTCAACTATCACGGCGACAACAGCGGAGTTCAGATCCCGGAGCCACAACAAGCATCAACTATGAAAAGCGTATGGAAAGTGACTGGATGGCAGAAGATCCTAAGTGTCAACTATCAAACGCGTCAGGAAAGTGACGGGACCACGGGAGATAGGAGATTGGAGGAGTTGCATTGTGGATGGACTCACCGTCGCTTCCTGGACCCGAGTGGTCACTTCCGTTGACGAACCCGCCTCCCGGGGCCGGCGCCGGCGACATCCAGTTGTCTCCAAACCGGCGACATCTTCACGAAGGGCGTTACCGCGTCTGAGCCGACCGCGAACATCCGCGGGGACTCGAGCGCCGCCTTCTTCGCGAGGTTGTTCATCAGCGCGCCGAGCCGCGGCGTGAACTGGCCAAATATCTATCCAAAAGTTAGCATTGTTATCTTTCCCCACTGTTACTATTATTATTATCCTGTAATAAAGATCTAAAACCAAAAGTTAGTGTAGTTACCTTTTTTTGCAGTTACTATTGTCATTGCCCTATAAAGATCTTTAAACTGTATTAGTTGTCTCCAAACCGTGTGTAGTCTTGCTGATTTTGTCTCCCAGTCCTTTTCCGTTGGTACAATCTGAATTCCTTATCACACACATTTAATTTGAAGGGCACATCCCACCCAAACGAAGATATTGAAGATCAAGGGTGCAATTAAGTTGAGATTGATTGATTAGCACAATACTCTTAGTTAGTACGCCTGTTTAGCTGCACCGTTATAGCCGGTGATCTGTGTCAGTGTGCAGCCGTGCAGTGACCTCGACATCTCGCCGTCGTTTGCCGCCGGTTTGTGTTGTATGAACTCTAACCTCTCTTAATGAAGCACTTGCAAAGCACGCTTTCGAAAAAAAATAGCACAGTACTCCATTAGATTAGTCCTGGTGGGATTTAATTCGAATGCAAGCTGCGCTACCTACGATTTGGGGGAAAAGGTCAATAATGAAGAAAGGTCGCTGACGTCAATGTCCAATACAGGTCGATCTCCTCTTTGCTCCGAATTACACGCAGCAAAGGCCAACGAGCCAACGACCAAATCATCTTCCAGCTGCATTTAAAGAGAAGTATTCTTCGGTCACCCTTTCATACTATGCATACGCAATAAGCAAATAAAACAATGGTCATCACCACTGAAGTGCCTTTAAAGAGCACAGAAGGACGCAGCAAGAGCAGAGAAGTGCCTAAGCATTAGCAACTGTACGTTAGCGACCAAAATTAGCGATTTGGCATCAACAGGAACCTTCCTCAGCTAGCCATGCACAGCCTTCTTCCGCTCCTTCTCCTCGGCTGGTGGTGTCTCCGCCTCACCGCAACAACTAACGCCGACAACCTCAAGTTCTACATCGGCACCGAGTGCTCGAATAACATGAACTACACGAGCGGCAGCGCGTTCCAGGCCAACCTCGACGCGATCCTCTCCTCCCTCCCAGACGCCGCAGCCGCGTCCTCTGGGTTTGCCGAGAACACCACCGGCGCCGCCGCGCCGGACAAGGCGTACGGCCTCGCTCAGTGCCGTGGCGACGTTGGCGCGTCGGACTGCCGCTCCTGCCTCAACGACACGGCGCATGAGATGGCCAGCAAGTGCCCGGGCCAGAAGAACGCCATGCTCATCTACGAAGGCTGCATGCTGCGCTACTCCAACGCCAGCTTCGACCCCTACACGTTCAACCTGATCTTCCAGTGGGCGAGCGACGAGAACGTGACGCAGCCGGAGCGGTTCATATCGCTGCTCGGCGTGCTGATGAGCAACCTCGTCAGGGAGGCCGCCTACGGGTCCCCGCGCAGGTTCGCAGCCGGCGAGGTCCAGCAAACAAGTTTCGTGACGCTCTATGGCTTGGCCCAGTGCACGCGGGACACAAGCGCGGCAAACTGCAAGCTGTGCCTCGCCATTCTTGTCGATAAGATCCCCAAGTGCTGTAATGGGAAGAAGGGCGGCCGGCTCTTCTCGCCGATCTGCCAGCTCCGGTTCGAGATTTACCCGTTCTACGACCCCCTGGCCGCCCAGGCGGCCATGTCACCAGCGCCGGCGCCACGAAGTGGGCCAGTCAACGGCAGCGACCTTCCCGGCCCACAAAACACTGGTAAGTTGAACTACCACTACAGTGGCCGTGCCAGTGGACTGTGGACCCCAAATTATGCGTGTGGCTCTAGCGAAGTCCAGGACTGGCCCAGCTGGGCCCCGTCACTATCGTTGGGCCCTCGCCAGCCAGCCCATCAATCAAATGGTAGAAGTTGTAATCCTATTGACTCCGCAAGAGCGCACGCAGTCACGCACTGCCCCTGCTGGTGCGTGGGTGCACCTAGACCTAGAAATGGAAGTCACACTCCTGTCTAATAAGATATTTTGACTTTTCTAAATACATTATTTCTGTTATGCACTTAAATTCATATGCATGTGTACTAGAAGACAAATTTCCTGAAATTTTGTTTTGTAGTTCACATACAAGTGAAATTTGTTATTTTCGTATGATTTTTTTTTCCAAAAATGGTTTTACATCTCAACTTTGCATGTGACCACATATGTCAATGAACTATAGATATGCCAAGTTTCAAATTCTTTTGGGTTGTACAAGTGCATTTTGAATTGGTTTTCATGTTTTCACCAAAGATGTGGTTCCCATCATATATTTCCACTAGTTAGCTAACAACTAGTTGAAGGCTTGACAAAAAAAAAATAACATTCATATTTGAATATGCTAGGGCTAGTTTTAGATAATTTCTAGCTAGCTAGCAATTAGCTCTGGCATCTAGACAGATCCTTACTCTCAATACATATGGATTGGAGGGGGTTTTCTTCTATGTAAATATGCCCAAAAGAGATCAAGAAATCATCTGATCTAACTTCAGTTTGTTCAAAAAGCATGTTAGTCATTACGATGTCATTTATCACCAAATCACGAAAATAGTATTAGAAACCCACAAAATTTGTTTCCAAATGCTTTAAAGAGTCATGTCTAATTGGTAAAGTATAACAATTTCCCGTCAATCTACAATCCGTTTCATTGTATTGTCTAATAATGAGGAAAGTGTAATTTGAATGCACGGTGGACTAGCCTTCCATCCAGATCCAAATAATGTTCTATGGCTTTCCATATATAGTTGTCAACTAGTTTCTTACAAATGCTGTTAAAAGCACGATGGTTTCAGTAGTTTGGTTCAAAAGATGAGTGATTCTAGGTGAAGGTTGATGAAAGAGCTTCTGTTCTGATTAAGCTCCGTCGGTGCAGGAAGTAATAGCACAGTCAGGACAGCACTTATTATTGTTTCGATTCTTGCTGCTGTCATGCTGCTGCTGCTGCTGCTGTTTGTTGCTGCCTACGGCTGCAAGAAGAATAGAAAACCATACAAGCACGTGCAGATAGTAAGAGACGGTAAGTTACTGAAATGTTGTTAGCTATCAGGAGAGAACATTGTGGTGCAACCTTCAGGCTTGGATCTTCCGTTTTCTCTTATCAATAGGACATGGGGCTGAAGAAGAAGAAATGAGAAGTTCAGAACCTCTCACATACGACCTGAGTACTCTGCGAGCTGCAACTGACAACTTTTCAGAGGAAAATAAGCTCGGGGAAGGAGGGTTTGGGCCAGTCTACAAAGTAAACTTCAATCCTGGAGCACGACCAAAAATTAGTGCCTAAAAATGGTCTTTCTCATAATAAGAACACAAAATGTCTGATGGTCCGATCTCATCTCAATGTTCTTCAGGGTACCCTACCAGATGGGCAGGTGATTGCAGTGAAGAGACTCTCCAGAACTTCGAAACAAGGGCATGTGGAGATGAAGAACGAGGCTGTCCTAGTTGCAAAGCTCCAGCACAAGAACTTGGTGCGGCTTCTGGGCTGCTGCATCGAGGAAGACGAGAAGCTCCTTATCTATGAGTTCCTCGTCAACAAGAGCCTCGACAAGATCCTTTTTGGTGCTCGCTTGACCATAATCCTTGCATGTCAGGCCACTCGGTCCTTTTGTTTACTGATGAGTGAACTCAACTTTCAGATCCTATAAGGCAGCAAGAGCTAAGCTGGGGGCAGAGGTACAAGATCATCGAGGGAATTGGCCGAGGGCTTCTCTATCTTCACGAGGATTCGAGGCTGATGATCATCCACCGTGATCTCAAGCCAGGTAACATCTTGCTTGATGCGGACATGAATCCTAAGATCTCAGACTTCGGCTTGGCGAAGCTGTATGACATCGCCTTGAGCGTGGCAAACACAAGCCGGATAGCTGGTACATGGTAAGTTTGGTCTCCAAATTCTTCTATATAACCGTGCCACACGTGTAATTACCAATAGCAAGGATGTAGATTTATATTGTACCTCCTAACTTGCCATGTCTTCGAGATGCAGTGGATACATGGCGCCGAGCACGTGTGTGCGGCACCTTCTCCACCAAGTCTCGACGTTTATAGCTACTACGTACTTGTCCTAGAGATCGCCATCGCCGGCAATGACCACCGAAAATCTCATAAACTTTGTAAGTTGTAACCTTTGAATTAGAACATGGATTGCAGTTTACTAGTCCACTCACTAACTCTGCACGGGATAGAATCTTATGAAACTTAAGCATCTCTAAGTTTGTGATATATTTACTAGCAACAACTAATCAAAATTACTTATCTTTACACACTATCTATTTATTTTCTACATCCATTTAAAAATTAATTACTCTATATGTTTTTTCCATCAATATTCATATTGTTTTCTCACTTTGTATCACATATCTATGTCCCTACGATATGTGTTTAGTCGAAATCTTAATTTTAAGTTATATCAGTTCTTGTTGTAGCCTATGTATTATGACATAATTGATCTAGATTTTGGTTTCTAAAATTTGATCTTATTAGGTACTATAATTTTTTTGTCCACATTAAGTTGAAACTCTAGTACTTATGGTACCTTTTATTCCAAATTCTATTTGTGTTTTATAAAAAAATGGATTCTATGCTGTGCAATAACATGCCATTTATTTTGAGATCTGATACTGAATATCCTCTATGAAAAAATATGTATATTTTAATTTTCTTAAAAAATTACTTAAAAATTAAACTATCTGAGAGGACCGAGGATGCCGTCTAGAGGGGGGTGAATAGGCGTTTCTAAAATTCAACCCTTTAAAATGCGGAAACGATTAGTGTTGGAGTTTCCAAACTTGAAAACTCCTAATCAGAGAAATAAACCCCTCACGAGTTAGCCAACAGAGAATACAAGATATAAATAATATATCTAGAAGCTACAACCCTGCAACAAACAAGTTAGAGCAGCAGGTATACCTAGCCGTCTAAGACCGAAGAGTCCAAGAGTAGCAAATGCAAATCACGAGATCGACAAATATGCACAAGTGCTAAGGATGGCTTGCTTTCAATTTTGAATCTCACTCAACCCACAAGATGATTTTGCAAGTTTGAATCAATCACTCACTAAGAGAGGGTTGGAGAGTGTTCTCAAGGCTCAAAAACGTGTGAGGTTGTCAACAGAATCAGCCGCCTTCAAAGGTGGAGGCTAAGGGGTATTTATAGTCCCTTTGAAAAACTAGCCGTTGGGCAATACTGGACACATCCGATATCTGCCGTACAACCCCAACAATAACTTTGTCAATGTCGTTGTGAGGCGTCGGAACTCACGACGAGCCAAGCCGAGACAACGAAGAAATTGCTGTGACAGGACAAATACTGGACACGTCCGGTAGGTATTGCCTGCACAGTACCAACAGTCACTGAGTCAGTGGCGCAAGTGAGGCGTCGGAACTCCCGACGATTGCCGGAACTCCTAACCGTCGGAACTCCCGACTCACGTCGAAACTCCCGACGAACCAACCCGAGAAAGCTGAGGAAATTGCTGTGGCTGGGAAAATACCGGACACGTCCGGTATTGCCAGACCAGCAACACCAAGTTAGATTTTATGTCTCTCAAACACTCAAAACTCACATGGGTTGGCTTGAGCACTTATGAATGATTATCCATCAACATGATGCATCCCTCTTAATAGTACGGCATACCTATAACTCAAGTTTAACTGAAAAAGGAATTTGAAGCGCTTGAGTTGAATTTTCTATTTTTCTTGAACCGAAATGCCATAGCTTTCAATCTTCATCAAGAGAGTGTGTCAACATGTCGACTTTGATTTTATTCTTGAGTATAGCCATCTTGACTATTTTGACTTGATTCTATTCAATAAATGTGAATTGGCTTCAAAGTTATCAAGTCATCCATTTATAAAAGTCATATAGGATTTGATTCTCCACTTCAATATGACCAATATGGTTTGATCGGTGCCTTGACTAAATACAAGTACTTCCTTCTTTACCTTAACTAGGTTCCTCAGTCACCAAGTCGTCGCTTGCCCTTCACCCTTGCTTAGTACATCGAAGTCTTTCTTTGCTATCTTCACCATCTCAAGTCATCTAGTCATACTTGGTGTCAAATCATTCATTAAACTCATTTGTATACATGTCTTTAACTTAGCAAGCTTTAAAAGATGAGACCAATCCATATGCAATCCATCACGTCTCATTAATTATTATTCACCGTGCTTGCTTTCATACGAGTCATCGAAATCCCACAATAAACAAGCCTTGTATGAATTACATTTGCATTGTTGTCTTGTGTTTGAACTAGATTGTTTCAACAATATATCATTTTAGCTTTCATTAAGTACCTGTGAGATAACCTATTACCTGTTCACACTTAGCAAACGGGTTAGACCTTTAATCACGTTATCATTCAATCATCCAAAACCCACTAAAATGCTAGATGCACTTTCACTATCAAAGTAGATATATTATTATTTTTTAGTCAAAATATAATCTATGAAAATAACAAATAAATAATTTATTTTATTCTCATGAGATATTAATAATTTAAATTAATTGTCAAAGTGTGCTTCCTTAAGAGAAGAAATTTTCGTAATTGCTAAACAATAAAAATATGTATCTATCACTCATGCATGATTGTATTCATGATCTCCATGTGGCATACAATATGTATGTTTGTTTTGAGATAACTTTTTACCTATTAGTCACATCAGCGGGCAATTAAAAATATATGTAGGCATATATATCTAAAAATAATTTGGTGGGATATTTTAACTTATATTTCATAATGACTAAGGTGTAATTCTATAAAAGGCAATTCTAGAGACGGTTGTTGTTATTTACAGAGGCCAGCGGTCCCGGCAGCTAAATAGTTTTTAAAAATTCAAAATTTATAGAGGCAAGCAGTCCCAACTGCCAAACCAACAGCCCACATCTGAGGTTTTTAAAAATTCTAAATTTTGAATTTCAAAATCTAAGAACTTAAAATGGACACTTTGATTATCTTTCATAATAATAAATTTGGGTAACTACGAAGAAATAGAAAAGATCCAATGACTCCGTTGTCGTTCATTTTGATTATCTTTCACAATAATAAATTTGGTTAATTATGAAGAAATAGAAAAGATCGAACGACTCCTCTGTCAATGTTGGTTGGACTCTAATAAATGGATGGTCTAATGTTTCTGATTTATTAAATGGATTAGATCTTTTCTAAACGTGTCTCGCGCGTAGAGACTACATCGAGGAAGCATATTACTGAATTATACTCAATTCCGATCGCGTGTGGCACGAGCAGGTTTGGGGCCAATGGAGCCATCAGAACGTGTCGCAGTTGCTCGAGGGCTGCCCAGCCGATGGGCCGGGCCCGCAGGAGATGTTGAGGTGCATCCACGTCGGGCTGCTCTGCGTGCAGGAGGACCCACGCCTCCGGCCAAGCATGGCGTCCGTCGTCGTCATGCTCAACAGCCGCTCCATCACGCTGCCCATTCCCACGGTGCCGGCCTTTGTGAGCCCAGCCGAAGGGCCGAGGGCGGCTGCTCCGGAGCCGTCGATCGACGAAGGGTCTGTCTCTGACTTGGAACCTCGTTGATGGTGCTGCTGCATGGAGGACGTCAATGAATCACTGCTACTATTCTTGTTGAATTGAAGGTACGCGAGTAGCCTTCATGTAAATTATGCATGCATGTCACGCCAAAAATATAATATTATTTTGTGTCATGGACTCATGATTAATATATTGTCCCTCTATGCTATGGATTAACTTGGACATAATAGCACAAAAGCAAAAACAAAAAAAAAAGTTTTTAAAAAATAACACAAAATCATACAAACCCAGATAAGACATGAAATTCTTGCTTATAATTAAACTCTAACATCATAAACAATTCTGTACATAAGAAGATACTCTCTTCGATTTAAATATAGAAATAATGTTTATTTAAATGGAGTGCACTCTAAGAAGATAATTAAGTAGTGTAGTAGTAATCTAAGCTAGGCCTACGTAGTCCAATTCTACGGATCCCAGCCACAGCTGCCCGTCTTTCTCAGAGACGTCGCTCAGGGTCACGCCCTTGGCCGCCGTCAGCTCCTCCACCGCCGCACCGTCTACGGCGAGCCGGACGCCAACTAGATGCTTCATTGGAGGCGCTGTCGTGTCGAGCCGCGCCTTCTCCTGGTTCAGCGCTACCCAGTAGCCGCCCCTGGTGTCGCGCCTCACGTTGTCCGGGTACCCAGGCAGGTCCGCGAGGAGCTCGTACTGGCCGGCCTTGGGCCCCTTGAGCCAGTACCTGAACGCCTGGCACGGCACGGTGTGCGCCACCACCACATGCGTCCTGTCGGTGCTGACCGCCACGCCGTTGGGGTACGGCAGGTCGGCCTTGAGTACAGTGACTTGCTTCGTCCGCGCATCGTACTTGAGCAGCCGCCCCGTCGCGTCGCCGTTCATCATAATCTCGGTGTTGAACCTGCGCGGGTAGGTGGTGCTGCTGTCCGTGAAGTATACGTCGCCGGTGGCCTGATCGACGTCGAGCCCGTTGACGAAGTGGAACGGCACGCCGTCTGCCGCTTGCGTCGCCAGCACCTGCGCCTCGCCGCCGTTGGGCCCGACCTTCATGAGCCCCATGTATGCGTCGGCGATGTAGAGATCGCCTGTCATGGCGAAGAACTGCAGCCCAAGCGGGCGGCCGCACATGCTCTCCGTCTGCTCCGACGGCACCGCGGACGCCGTGCATAGTGGGATCTTCCGGTAGTTTGCACCGTGGGCGAACGTGGTCCAGCCGAGAGCGCTGCCGCCCCACTTGAGGACGCGGCCGTCCGAGACGCCGGCGTAGGGGCCCTGGCCGCGGCGGTCGAAGGCGAGGCTCTCAGCGCCGGTGACGCCGTCGGGCAGCGGCAGGTGGAAGGTCCAGCTCGTGGGCGTGGTCTTGATCGGCTCGGCGGCGCAGAACGACGCCGGGAGCAGGAGCGCGACCACGACGCCGAGTAAGAGCGACGCCGCACGTTTGATGCGCCCCATCTCGACTACGTTGTCAGTTGGCCAATTGAGCTACGTACTTTGGTTTGATGCGACGGCGAGGCGGGCAGGTAGGTGCCGTTTTATAGGCCTGGCGGTGCGCGGCAGCCGTGTCGGACTCGGACGCGGCCTCGTCCTTGTTTTCCTTGCCAGGTTCCGATCCGATATGTTGTACGACTCCACTCTCCACCTCGAGTCCGACTCGCTAAACTGATTTGCGTCCATGGGGGTAGGAATATTATATAGCGTAACGTGTTTGTTTTTGAATTTGAATTTGAGCAAAAAAAAAATTACAGCCCCTGTAATTTCAATGGAAAGAGCAGAAATGAAGGATCACGTCGTCTTCGTCCATGCTAAACCCTGCAATCCATCAACGTGCCTCCAAGTCAGAGACGGAGACTTTGTTGATCGACGTCGACGGCTTCCCTGCGGTCTCCATCGGCTTCTTTGTGGGGACTACGAAGGCCGGCTTGGTAGGCGGCGACATTGTGACGATGCGGTTTCTGAGCATGAGGAGGACGGACGCCATGCGGGGCCGGAGCTGCGGATCCTCCTGGACGCAGAGCAGCCCGATGTGGATGCACCTCAGCATCTCCAGCCTGTCCGGCTCCTCCGCCGGGTAGCCATCGAGAAGCTGCAGCACGCTGCCGAGGCTCCAGTGCCTCCAAACCTGTCCGTGCGGCCGTGCCCGCGCGCCCCATACATACATGATCAAAATTAGCTCGCCATTGCAAGCAGTGATGCGTGTTCTGATTCCAAGGTTACACTTACCAAGCTTAGCAGATCTTCAGAAGCTCGCCGGCCGGTGACGATCTCCAGGACAAGGACGCCGTAGCTGAAAACGTCTGACTTGGTAGAGAAGATGCCGTGATAGGCGTACTCTGGTGCCATGTATCCGCTGCATCTCGGAGACATGGCATGTCAGGACTCAGGATGCATGTACAAATGGAGCCACGTATATATCTCTCTATTGGAAAAACTGGACATAGACACGTTTGAGGAAAAAAGAAGAAGAATGAAGGAACTTGGAGACGCCAAACTTACTAAGTTCCAGCAATATGTCTTGTGTTTTCTGCGCTCGATTCGATCTTAAATAACTTGGCCAAGCCAAAGTCGGAGATCTTGGGGTTCATGTCTGCGTCTAGCAAGATGTTGCCCGGCTTGAGATCACGGTGGATGATCGTCAGCCGTGAATCCTCGTGAAGATACTGAAGCCCTCGGCTGATCCCTTCGATGATCTTATACCTTTGCCCCCAGCTTAACTGCTGTTGCGTTTTAGGATCTGAAAGTTTGGTTTATCTCACTTAGTAGTTAGTAAACAAATGACCAAGTGATATGATATGAAAATAAAATGATAGTGATCACTGGTTCATGCACCGAAAAGGATTTTATTGAGGCTCTTGTTGCTGAGGAACTCGTAGACGAGGAGCTTCTCTTCTTCATCGATGCAGAAACCGAGTAGGCGCACCAAGTTCTTGTGTTGGAGCTTTGCAACGAGGACAATCTCGTTTTTCATTTCCACAAGTCCTTGCTGTGAGATTGTTGACAGTCTCTTCACTGCAATTTCCTGCCCATTTTGCATCGTGCCCTGAAGAATATTGATGTCAGACCATCATGTGTTTTGTGCTTATTTGGCAGCCATGCCAAAAGAAAGGACTATTTGGCAAGCTGGGCATTTTGCAAAGTTAAAATTCAGGCTGCAGGATTGAAGTTACTTTGTAGACCGGTCCAAAACCGCCTTTCCCGAGCATATTTTCTTCTGAAAAGTTGTCAGTGGCAGCCCGCAGAGTACCTAGATCGTACTGGAGAGTTTCTGAACCTCTCATTTCTTCGTAACCTCCATATCCTGTTTATATAAGATCAAGGAAATGAAAGAGTCAACTCAAATCTGAAGGTTACAGCACATTGTTCCAAAGATACGCTGAAGTTGTTTCAGCA